CTGGATTCAGCTGGGTGTGTGTGGAAGGGAGGTAGATGACACAAAGAGGCCAAGGATCTGATTTTATAATCAAATCATCCTTTTGATTTAATATTCTTCTATGTGCCACTTAAATCAGTGGTTTTTCTAAAGGATCCACCCTATGAGGCATTTTGGATATTTTTCAGTGTCATTTTTGGTTGTAACAATGATGTGTGGGCCTTCCTGGCTCAAAGATGGGCCAGAAGAATTGAATTTTTAACAACTCCCTGGACATTCATGTAGGTGTAAGTTTCTGAGCTAAGAACTAATTACATTTTATATCTAAACATAAAGGCCTACAAATATAATGACCAACTAGATAGCAATTAGGTCCTCAGCACACAGATTGTGCTTTTTAAATACTATTTCCCATGAAAAAGAATCAGTGCTCCTTTGAGAAATGCTTGATACTACATACAGTACAGGAAACATACAAAATAAAATTGGAATATATTGTCATACCGGAAATCAAAGTACTGTCAAAGACAACTGGAGTCAAGTTAAAAAGACTCAGGAACCAACTTGCAGAGGCTCCCATTGGCCAAAGAGAGCTTGAGCATCAACAGAAATTATAATTATAGTGGAAAGAAATATACCAATTATGTTTAAATCCATAAGTTTACAATCATTTAAAAATCATTAGTCACCTTTGGAAGATGCTAGGGACTCAATTCATTATTTTGAAAACTTAGAAAAAATTCTGAAAATAAAGTATTTATTCTATCTTTCTTATATGTACCTGAGGTTTCTTACATGTAATCAAGTACATAATAAAGAAAACTTTCACTTTATAGAAGTATTCCAGCTAGTGAATGAATAAGGGGTGATAGAACTATAATATCACCATCTTTCAACCCCTAAGTAAATAATGTCTAAGAAATAATTATAAATGGCTGCTAAAATCATAGAGACAACCATACTATGTGCCCTGTGGTGGACATTTATACAATACTATTTATGAAGCATTTTTGCCAAAATATAAAACCTGAATCACATCCAGATTCTAGAGCTAAATAATAAAAGAAATACAGGTGACAGAGAACAATGTGCAATGAAGAAGCATTCTGCAAAGTACAGATTTCAGAAAGCTAAAGAACAATCCAATTTATGCAACAAATTGAAAGGAAAAGAAAAAAAAGAAAGAGGGAAACCTATATATTAAAAGAGATATAAGAGATTGGTATCAATTTCAACCAATTTCAATGTGTTGATCTTATTTTCATCCTTATTCCAAAAAATTATTAATAACAATTTAAAAATAAATAAAAAGTGATATGTGTAAAAATTGGAAAAAACTATGTTAAGGACTGAATTGTGTTCCCCCAAAATTCATCTGTTAAATCTTTAACCTCAAGTATCTCAGAATGTGACTAAATTTGAAGATAAGGCATTTAAAAAGGTGACAAAGTTAAAATGAGGCTCTTGGGGTGGGTCCTAATCCAATCTGACTGGTACCCTGATAAGAAGGGGAAATATGGTAATTTCAAAGGAGATTACCAGGGGCTTGCATGTACACAGTACAGTGACTACCTGTAAGCCAAAGAGAGGGGCCTCAGAGGAAACCAAAAGCACAAAAACTGTGAGAAAAAATATTTATGTTGCTTAATCCACCCAATATGTGGTATTCTGTTATAGCAGCCCTAGAATACTAGTATAGATGCTAAAAGATGAGTATGCCCACCATTCGATTAAACTTAAGAAACAGGGATATAGAAGGTGATACACTGCAGATCTTGGAGCAAAAATCTCAACTGATGAAATGGAATGAATTGCATAGCCCCCTGGTGGGAGGTGGCTCATATATAGCTTGAAAAAGCCACAAAAATGATTCTGAATTTCCATCTCTCCCCACTTAAAAACACTATCTTGGATCCAACCATATGCAAAGTTATGTCACTACTTCTCCTGGTTACTCAGTTATGTTAATTCTGTTCACAATTTTATAGTTGGCACCTATATAGATTCACAAACTAGAATATAAACATTGTTACTAGGGATCTATGTTATTTATAATACTGGAATTGATTCTATTCATTCCCTTCTATTTACCTTCAAAATTCTATGCCAATTTGCCATTTACTTTTTCTCTTCTCACTTATAAATTATCCATCCTATTAAAAGGCATAGCTGTGACAATTCCAAGTTTCAGCTGTCCACTATGTTCCCATCTATTTCATCTCTTAAAAGTATTCAAAGCATTAACAACAGATTGTGTTTCATCCTAGAGATAGCTGGGTTTTAGGGAGAGGTAAAATGTTTCATTATCTCACTCCATTGTCCAAGACAAATGTGCTATTGTATTACATGTGAAATGTCATCTCTGAAGTCTATTAAGGGTGTGCTGTGAGGTGAGACATCTGGAAAACAGCACAGACTGGAAAATAATTATAAGCCAGTTCACTGTGCTTTTTTTCCACTTAAGCCTACCAAGACAGCTGTTAAAAATGCTATGTATCATAAGGCGTAGAGGCTCTGAAGCCACACCGGTTACACCCCACCTCCAACAATGATTGGCTAGCATGCAAGTTACTTAACTTGTGTGAAACCTTTGTCTTGTCTGTAAAATTGAGATACTAATGCATGTTGCATAGAAGTTTGATGAATATTAAATGAAATAATACTTGTAAACACTTGGAAGAGAATAGACAGTAAGTATGACTTCTTATAGATTTAATGTTCTTTACATAAAGAATATTAGATAATCCAATAATATTTGGAAACCAGGTTGAGCAGTTTGGTTTTGTAAATAAATCTATTGAGCTTCTTCCATGTGGTTTCCTTTGAGTTTCAAGGAATAACACAGATTTGTAAGATCAAGTTTGAAGCTTCCTCAGGAATTTTTAGTCTGGAATGGGATAGGACCACCCAGACCTGCTGAAGAGGGAAGCGCTGTCCGTGGTGCTAGTGATCGCGCATATCTCTAGCGACATTTCACCTGCCCCAGAGTTCTTCCGTCAACTTAACAAAGTTCACATAACCTCCTTGTGGAATATTCTCAGTCATCCTCCTCAATGTTTTTTTCCCTATCTCACCACTCTTGATCTATCACCTTTCAACAACAACAAAAAAAAAACCCAATTCTCTTCCATCTCCTTACGAACTCCAAATAGTTTTTATTTTTCAGACACTTTGGCCATGCCTACCATTTAAGATGACTCAAAAATTGGCTCAGGTTACCTTTTCCTAAACTTTTTGTTAAATTTCAGAGAAATCCAAGACTTGAGGAGAGAGCACAGGAAATAATTTCCAATGCATTCTTTAAAGACTCTCCAGGTGGCAACTTCTCCTAAGAAACTTGATAGTTTAATGTTAAATTATTAGTTTTGCATGCCACTAGGGAGAGTTTCTTAAAAGCTAGGATCCATAACTTATTCAATTGTGAACGCCTGAAATATAGGACATGCTGAACTAAGTTTTGTTAAACTAACTTTAATTACCAGATCCATTAGAAAAAAAGGCAGAAAAACACTCCTTTAAAAGGAAGGCAACCTGCCTTGTTACAGGTGGCTGTGCACTAAATTTCAGGGTACCTAGGCTGTTCCGAAGAAGGTATTATGGACTGAGCCCATCTGCCACCACATTCACCAGTATCAGTCTGGTGACTCAGCCCCACAGACTGAATAGCAAAGAACCAATACCATCCATTTCAAAAACTCTGGCTCCCTACTGTTCATCTCTCCTCTTCCTTCTCCCATTTTATGCACACACCTGTAAAACCCACTACACTGTGCTTGAGGACTGGCCCCAAAAACAGTTCATACATGCTTTCACCCAGAAGTTGACTTCTGTTCCTCTATCCAGACAAAGGAATAGAGGGTGCCACCATCAACAAATAAAAGGACCATTTTTTCAAGAAAAGAATGGAAGTTCAAATAAATTTAGAGGTAGAGGAATTAAGAAACTGAAATTAAGATAGAGGGTTTAGGTGAGAGAGGGAGAAAAATTGTTATAATGTTGCCTCCTTCCCTTCCCTCTCCAGGTGGATTTCAGCTTTACTGAGGCTGTCAGTATATCTTCAGCCCTAACCACTACTTTCATGGGCCCCCTGTTTTTAAAGGGCTCTTCTTCATTCTACAGTGGTTAGGGGAAGGGGAATCCAAGCCAAGTTACGCTAGAAGAAACACATGAACTCTTTCATTTGTGAGTAAGCAAGCAATTGCTCTCCATTAAAGATTGTCTTTCTTGGGACCCTGAAACAAAAATGATGTTGTAAATAAGAACTGTTCCATGTTAGGAGAGGCCCATTCTAATATAATTCCTCACCAAAGTTTTCAGAACAGATACATAACTTCTGGTTCCCTTCCTATTTCAATTGAGCATCAGCTGTAATATCTTAAGTATTTAAAGCAATGTTGTTAATTCAAACACACCTAGGAAAACTGGGAAGAAAAGAAAAACACTTGGCCTTTAAATCTTCAGAGGAGTATTTAATGACAGGTTCAGCCTGTTTAATGACAGGCCTAGCACCACACCCTTGTTTTATTATATTTCACTATTACTGTATAAATTTCCTTTATTACTCATGATAAACAAAAATCAAATACTTGCCAAGGTGGGTTTAAATAAGTAAGAGTGCAAACAAAATTATACTATTCAAATATCATGAAACTGGGATTTCAGATTATTAAATACTTATTTAGTATCTTACAGGTCCCAGATTGCCATTTTTAATACCAAACTATTGTTTTTGTAAATATTATATCCATAATGCAAAGATGAAAAGAATAAAAAGCGCATTCAAAACAGAGTGCTCAGGATTTTTCCCTGAGACTGATTTTTGACTGGTTCAGATAGAAAGACACACCCATAAGAGAATTGCTAAGGCTGATGCTAGATCTGAAGCTAGTGAAGTTCAAATACTGCCTGGGGATGAATTTAGCCTGAATGACAGTTGCAGAGCTGTCACTTACAGATATCTTAAGAGAGATGGAGTTAAACGCCTTTTTCTAAGCCATTCGATTACACAAGGGACGACTAACCTTTCCAGAGTGAAATCAGCTGGCCTGGGGCTGAAAGAATAGAAATCCTCTGCTCCGCCTGCTGGAGGAGGGGATTAGTTGCTGGGTGTATTGATAAAGGTTTCCAAAAACCTAGCCAAGGCTTTGGGGGACACCCGGAGAGCAGGGAGCTGGCGGGACGCGCTGGGTGTCCGGCGCATGCGCCCCAGCAGGGTCCACCCCGCCCCTACCCTTACCGACTGTAACGTCATCTGCATAGTGGGACGTGCCTGCGCTGGCCTGCCCGATAGGGGGCGGAGCCTAAGGGGGTGGTGAGAGCCCAGCCCCGCCGCCCAGCTGGAAACTGGTTCTTTCCCGGCCGGTCCTCTACTCTGCCAGAGCGGGGCTCGGCGGGGAGGACGCTGCTACACGCCCGCCTTCTGCGGCCGGAGCCGCTTAGCGCGAGGCTGCGGCAGCACGAGGCTACTTTTCCTGGCAACGATCCAGGAAAAGCCCGGTTTAACCGCCGGCCGCTCGGCCATTGCACGGGTCTCCGAGCCGCGGGACAACGAAAGGGGACGGAAGCTGAATTAAGCTCTCCCCGGAGGGGAGAGCGCTCCAGGGAGAGGCGGGGAGGGAAGGAGGAGTGTCGCGAAGTTTAAGGCCAGCGGTAGATTATCCGGGTCATTTTGCGTCCAGGGGCTACGAAATGCGCGAAGAAGACAAGGGCAGGATTGGTGGTGGTGGTGGCGGCAGCGGTACGGGCCTGGCCAGCGCCGCGGCTCGGGGGCAAGTGGAGGCCGTGCGGCAACTCCTAGAAGCCGGCGCGGATCCAAACGGAGTCAATCGCTTCGGGAGGCGCCCGATCCAGGTAGCTGGGGCCCCGGGGCCTCGCCGGCAGGGGGCGCATGAACGCGGGGGAGCGGCCGCCGTGGGAAGCGGCTGGACTGAGATCTCCACCGACAGAGACCTGTTTCTTGCTGGAGGCGTGAGGCCCAGATGTAAAGCAGGTTTTCACCCACCAGAAATTCTAAAGAGTTAGGAAAACCCACTCCCTCGGTTTGGTTTTCTTTTTAATGGTGGGGAAAATATATATATATATATATATTCCCTCTCCAGTCTCATCATAAGAGATGCAAGAGATCGATTTAAGGGGGAGGAAAGGGGAAAAGGAGCAAGTTATTTGGGAAGGAGAGCTGTTTTGTTTGCCTTTCAACAGATAGCGATCACTTTTCAATGATAGAGATAAATTACAAGTTACACAATCCGGATTGGGTTTATGAAATCATAAAAAAAATAGACCATGGGGAAAAAAATCACTGAACTTTCACGCTGCAATATGAAATTCTTTGTATTCTTTCCTCATAGAGGTGAATTGAACACACAGGACTAAGACGGGATTCCTCAGTAACAGTACTTAATTCCTCTATGTTAGTAGTGAATTTTAAGTGTTAACTTAAGAAAGACATATTTATCTGTAAATTTTTATTGTTTAATTATACAAAAGCATTCCCTGCAGCAATTGTTTGGTCCTTTTTAAATGGCAAAGGGTTTTCATAAATAATCTCTTTATTGTTAAAATCCATTTATTCAATATGTTTAACTATCAGTCCCACTTTAATTCTGATTTTTTTAATTTCTTTAAAATCTCAGGTAGTCGTGTGCTTTACTATTGACTATTATGGTCATATCTGGTATGCACTATCACCTTCATGAACCAAGCCATTATTAAGGAATCGTGTTAATCCTATAGATTTTAAAGAAAATGTGTTCATTCCTTTTGAATTCTTGGAAGAGTTGTATAAGAAATGATAGTTTAAAGTAGCAAAAATATTGTAAAGTAGTTCTTAAAGACTTCAAATTATATTAATAATTGTAAAAAGAGGCTTTTGTAGTTTTAATTCACCATTTTCTGAAATACCAAGAACCACTCTTCCCCCCCCCTTCTCTATATCACTAGTAGAAATACCATGGTTTTTAAGGAAGGAAATGGGTATTTCTACTATTCATGAAACAATATACAATTTTTCAGTTACATGGTACATTTTAAAACATAAACGCATAAGAAATAACACCATTTTGGATATTTAGTTATGAAAAATTGTTTTATTAAAATAATGTAAATGCTTGCATAATACACATGTACACAAATGGATATAATATAGGATTACTGCTCCAAAACATTTTTTCTAAGTCATGCATTGCTCTGATTTGACCAACATCCAAGTTTTTTTATATTGCAAATTATTTACTATTTACATTATAAAATCCTGTGCAATGTAAAACTGTGTACGTTATATTACCCTCTAAACTTCATCCCTTATCTTTTATAACATTAACTTAAAATAACTAAAATGGCAAACCATTTATTAAAAGCAAGTAATTTGTTTTCATCATCTTATAGGCCTGTGTGTGTTTTTCCCCTCTATCTCCAATTTTGGCTCAAATTGTCAGACTATATTCCATATATGAGCACAGACATATAACAGTGAAAAGCAAAAGTCTTCCACAGGGGGGGATTTAGTACAGAAGCAAAGAAAACCTTATTTTAAACTTAGTTGTTTCTTGTTTTCTCCCCTAAACCACTACTCTAACTTCTAGAAAAGTATCAGCTGACTGCCTAATACTTTTAGACCTGGATTATGGTTGGGAGAGTTGGGGAGAGAAGGAGAAAATAATTTAAGAATTTAAAAGCCTTTAAATAAATTCAACTCCTCCCATAAATCATTTAATAAAATAGATTTCCATGTTCCGGTGGAATTCAGAATTTTCTTTTTGTCCCACAAGTAATGATAATCACTTTATCATCAGGTCTTTCTTGTCTCCACATTTTTGAAGGAAAAAAATGGAACTCAATTAGGGCTGAGTAAAGAGTATAAAACGGGCCGGTGGTGGAGCAGATGGGTGGGTATTCATCAGCAAATAAAGCATTGCCAGATTCCTGAAGTTTGTAAGGGCCTTTGCCTTTAGGTGGATACCTTCCTGAATGGTTCTACTTGTCCCTGTCCAGTCCTGCATCTCGCCGCTGCCTCCCCTCGCCCTGACCACTCTGCTCCCTCCCGCAGGTCATGATGATGGGCAGCGCCCGCGTAGCCGAGCTGCTGCTGCTTCATGGCGCGGACCCCAACTGCACCGACCCCGCCACCCTCACCCGACCCGTGCACGACGCCGCCCGGGAGGGCTTCCTGGACACGCTGGTGGCGCTGCACCGAGCTGGGGCGCGGCTAGACGTGCGTGACGCCTGGGGCCGCCTGCCCGCGGACCTGGCTGAGGAGCGGGGCCACCGCGACGTCGCACTGTACCTGCGCGCGGCCGCAGGAGACTGATGGAAGATGCCCCCTGCCGCCCACAACGTTTCTCTCTCCAGTTCCCACGCCCAACTTTAAATGAAGGCTACAGATGTGGAGCGGCGGAAAGCCTTATTGCCTTCCTGCGTGACCAGGCTCCTCGCGGGGAAGAAGGGGTAGACTGGGAATAAATTATTTTAGGTTGTTCTTCCCCTGGATCCCGCCCTCGCCACTCACCTTGAAGCAAAACAGAGGTGGGGCAAATGGATTTCCCGAGAGACTTAGGAGCGGAATACTAAGTTCCCGGGTGTCGTTTTTTGTTTTTGTTTTTTTTTTTCCCAGGATTTTCTCCGAAAAGCGGCATGTGAAGAAGTCCTGAATGACCCCGGGTGCCTGCAAATTTTCACCCAAAAGATGCTGGGGGCGGGGTGGGAGGCGGCGGTGAGTGGGATTCGGGCACGCTCGCCCCACTCGCCTTGAAGGAGCCCTGTGAGCCTCCGCTTCTGGCGCTGGCGGCTGTGAGGGAAAACCTGAGCTTTGGGGTCCAGACGAGGACAGCGGACAGATCCGTCAGTAGGCGCCCAACGCTTTACACGCAGTGCATCACAGGCAAATGATACTCACTGGAAGCCCGGAGACTCGCGCCCAACTCCACTGGATAGTGACGGGGAAGAAAAGCCACAGGAGCCACTGCGAATTCGCGCGCGTTTTAAAATCCCTGGGTCAAGGTGACGCACAACGGCTCTCAGAAAGGGGCTGGCGCTTGCTGTTCGCAATTCTGTCCAGGTGAGATTCCAGCGGCGTTCCTGACGTCAGCTCACAGTGACGTGGTAGATTGTAGTGAGAGCAACTGTAGCAATTAACTGTAACGATATGCTTCATATATATACTATCAGCTACAGAAGCCCCCCCCTGTGAAATTCGTAGTATTTTTGTTGTTCATTAACAATCGCACTTAATGGGGAGGCTTTAAATACAGTAGCTCATGTTCCTCGGTGAGAAAATAAGGAAGAACTAAAGCTCTTAAATGAAACATAATGCCAACGCCTAATTATTTTCACCTTCAACCTATTTATTTCTTTGTTAAAATTTTTTTTTTTACTGTTTCCTTTTAAGAGTGTCTCAGGGGTCAAACTATGAAATATTCCAAATGTCTTTTATAAGGGTCGATGCACTTAATGCAGTAAATTATCTCCGGACATTTACCAAAGGTTTGCTCAAAGAGTAGACTGAGTATAGAATTGTTGAAAATATATGATGAAGGCTCTTGGCATGTCTTTATATCTGCTGAACAAACTAAAGGTGCATTGCTTTGGGATTTAATTTCCAGTGTTGCTTGATTCATTACAGCATTGGAACAACTGATACTTCACTGTTTTAATAAAGAAAAAATAATAGAGATTGGACTCCAAGATGTGGGTGATTTGGTTTAAATATGTATTTCATGAATTTGCCACTAACTCCTGAGAAATGTTAAAGGTTTAAAGGGGTTCACTTCTCTTTAAGATAGTCACTCTATGGTGGTGCAAAGTAAGTCTGTCGAGCTCCAAAGCTTCTGGTTACATTTTTATTTTTCCACTGCACCATCCTGTTCTCCAACATCATTAGTGATAGATATAAAGCAAGCTAATCTTTTTAAGCAGAAACAGGATCTCCCTTGTAAGTTTCTAGGATCTTTTTCTTTCTATAGTATTTAATAAATCTGAACACTGTTTTCTACTTTAAAATGTTAAAAATATGAAGAATAGCCTCCAAAGATCTAAAAAAAGGATTTTGGGAACAAAGGAAATGGAAATCCCATTTTCAAATTAAGTCATAGGGACAGAAAACACAATTTTAATTATCAATTAAGCACCCAACTACTATCGGTTTTAAGAACAGTATTTTAAAGTTTATATATATTGTTTTTATAATTGCTAGGAAGTATTCTGCATAAAACCCAAGTGATCGTTTAAAATCTTTCATTTCACTTATGAAATCCCTTATCTTGTCCTCTAATTAAGTTCCAAGATATTCAAATTTGCTAGCTCCAAGAGGCTGAGTAATGAAAAATAATACTCCCTTGAAATACATATGAAACCTGTCACTTCACTTCTAATTTAGAGAAATTGTGGAGTCTGGTAACAAACTGGTATCAAGGAAAACCAAAAAAGATGTGGTTCTGTACCATACTACATTGTTTCTGTTTCTTTTGTACACACACACATCAAAACATTATTGGAAACCAAACCACCTGGCTACACTGAAATAGTAATTTATTAATCTATGTAAATTCAACTTTCAAAACCACCTGGTAGACAGGTTTGGCTAGTGTGTTTCATCAGCAGCACAAGGAGATATACACTGTTAAATATGTTAAAAGATTTATTTTGAAGGATACATACAAACAGCTCTACATACATGAGCCCTGATTCTGGCTCCACTGTGGAATTACAGAAAAATAAGCATGTATATTTCTGTATCTAAGTCTAAAATATTACCAAGTTGTGTGCAAATCTTACTACCTAACCTTCATTCCAACATGTGGAAGTGAAACAAATTCAGAACTTAATAACTTATTCATGTGACCTTGTTTTTATATTTTCTTTTTCAACTGAGTGGATGGGTGAAAAAACAAAGATGATTTTCTATGAAAGCAAAATCTATTTAAATTTTTCTTTGCTCTAATGGCTAAAATTAGTAATTTCAGATCTAAGGAATGAAACAGATTAAAAAGAAGAACTCAAGATCTATAAAACTCCAGGCAGCTTTGGGAAAGTATGTACATAGGAATACTTCCATGATATTTTGTTTTCTCTACTATAGCAAACATAGTATGGTGTCCAGGACCAAATAGGTCATCTTATAAAGCTAGGTAACTGACCTTCAGCAAATAAATACAACTAAATTACACTTACATTGAGATTCTATAATGCCCTTCCTTTATGAGAAATGTTAAAAACAAACTACTTGTGTATTAATATGTAATAATCAATAGGGGTTTTAACACCTGTGTAATTACCTCTCGATTATTTCAAAAAACAAACATGCTTATTTTCCTTTTATACTTCACCAGAGGCTGATTGTTTTCAGTGTAGGGTAATTTTTCCAATGTTCAAGACATTGTCACTCTATCAAAAGAAGAGCACATAGAACGAGAGATCTGTAAAAATGATAGAAATCACATAAACATTCTATGGATTGCCTTCTGAAGCAAATTCAAAACCTAGTGCTATCTAAAGTACAAGAGTTCTGCTTTCATGTTTATGTCAGTAGCTAATCATAACTAAATTCTGACATGGTTACTAGGTTTTCATTATTAACAAACTATTGAGTTATTCTGTGAAAATCTGAAGAATAATCTTTACATTTGTGTAATTTCAGTGTTAAATTACTAAGCAACAAATAGATACATAGAGATTAGATAGACGATAGTACATAAGAAAGTAATACAAGTTTAACTTTAAAAATTACTTGGAACAACAATAGCCGAGTCACAATACTTTCAATATCTTCTCCTGTTCTATTTATAATCCCAAGGAAGAATAAATCCCAAGGAAGAAACAGAAATTAGGACTTGACTGGAAATTGGAAGACCTGGGTTCCAGTAATGGTTCTTCAACTAATTCAATATATATGACCTACTAAGTCATGTACTTTGATTAGCCTCAATTTTCCTCATCTTTAAAAGGTAGGAGTTGGACTAGATCACTTCTAAATTCCCTATTATCATTAAAGTTTTCTATTCCTTCAAGACTTTGTTTCACAATAACCATAATGGCGTCTTACATTGTATTAGTAAAAATTCTGCCATGGTATGAACCAAAGAAAAATGTAGAGAGGAATGGAGAGAAGAGACACATTTTAAGATTTTGGAGCCAAAGAAGAGAAATCTTTATAAGCACCACCTTCCACTACTTAAATGAAAAATTACAGACAAGTTTGTGGGAACTAGGACATAAAAGATGCTTTGCAAAGAGAATGCTTAGTTTAATTTTAAGATCTTTCTCACTTCATCTTACCTGTGATTCTTCCTGTTGTATTTTGCACTTCTCCCATGCCACTTAAAACCACTAGAAAAATTATCTTAATTATATTTAAGAAATATCTTAAAGTGAGATAAGCAAGCAGACCTGACAGACTTATAAAATAATGAAGTAGATATTTACAAATGAGTAAAAGTGCTCTGGAAGAAAAGCTGATTTTTAAGCCAGCATAATACAAGGAATTCTGACCTAAATAGGTTGGTGTAGGAGCTACAACCAAGAGAAAAGGTTGGAGATTCTAGAAGGAACAGAAGGTGCAAAGGCAAGAGAATGCTAGTCGGTAGAAGTCAGTAAGAGATGAGTAACACATAACACCAAAATACATGTATTTTACGGACCCATTTCTAAGGGTCTGTACTTTCTGGTTTGCATTTGATTCCTTGAAACTTCAGGTCCTTAAATTTTGCCTGGGTGATAGTAGGTACCAACTGGTTAGGGAAGAGTTCTGTATCACCTAAATATGTGCATGTTAGCCATTTCAGGAGTGCAGAGAATGAGATGAAAAGGAAGCAAAAAAAAAATGAGTAAGAAGGAGGAACAGCCTGGGGGTGGTTTTGTGAAAGATGGATAATAGTTCAACAGAATTAGTCAAATCAAACCAAAATAAACTGTATGGTCAGCATGAGGGGGGGGGATTTGTGAAATACTTCCAGACCTAAACTAATGGGAATCTGTTCATTCCCTACTAACTTGACTTTCTATAAAACTTTTCTCAAGTTCAGCTATTATAAATGGAATGACTCCTTTCTTGCCTCTTGAATCCCCCACTCAGAGTATCTTAATATCATTCATTGCATGAGGAAGAAAATACTTTATAGAAACTAGTAATTTTTAGGTATCATCCCTTTATTAATTAGGTAATAAAGGAAATTTTGCTTTGAAGCCAGTGCTGCTATGAAATAATATGTAACTGACATGGATTACATATTAAGCACAGTAGTATAAATAAGCATGTACATCAAAAGTGAACACCCAACTCTGATTTACTAATTTAAAGCTTGAAATAAATATAAACCAAAGCTTTTTCTGGGGAAAAATACCTATGAGAGATGTATGAAAATGATAAATGCTATTGCACACACATCTACATTATACTGGAAGTTCACCAAGGATTCTAAATACCTATTAATCTGCTCCTCACTCAGAAACCCATGACATTAGGCCTCCAGTAAATACAGAATCAGTATTGGCACAGAAAATATTTTACAACAGAGTTAAAGTCAAAACTTTAAGACAAATTACAGTAATTAAGCCATGCCTCATTTCCCTTTCATATTTGGCCTCCTTCCAAAGTGCATAATATTATATTTATCCAGCCTCTCATTCAAATACTCTATATTATGAAAGGGTAGGTGCTACTTCTTTTGAACCCTTTCTCATGTGACCTCAGGGTCTCTTTCATTTTAAAAAACTCCCCATTACCTTCTTATCCCATCACAAATTTCTCCATCTCCTCATCTTAGCTGGAAATTGAGACTCCTTGAGAATTCCACTTTCTTCTGCACCAGATACTAAGTGCTGAGCTGTGGGAAACAGAGTGAGAATCAGAACCAGTGGTGAGTTTCTGCTGTTTGGGTGGCTTTCAATATAATCTCAAACCAAATATGTAAGGATTATCCACTGTTCTTCAAACTTCATTCATTTCATAGTATAAATAATTACATTTTGTTTTCCTTATCAGATTAAGCTGTAAATAATTTCAGCATATATTATTGTATATTTTATAGTATGTTTATAAGAGATAACATATATACATAAAACAGTAAGCAATTTATTCTCTTTGAAAACCTATAGATAGGTCAGTAGATCTACTTACATATATGTGTGTATATGTATGTCTATGTAAGCCCAAGTTTTCTTCTGAAGGGTGAGTGTTGGAAATATACCATATGGTTCTTCATCCCATCTGTGAGTTGCTAAGCCCAACTACCTTCCCAAGGGCACAATACCCTTTACAGTACCACAGTACCCTGTATCCCCTCCCAACATGCCACCTAGAGTTAGAAACTATAACCTTACCTAAAGTATTTTGTAACTCTCTACTACTATATCTCTGAGCTGCTTTTGATAGGGTTATCACATATAGGTCTATTTCAGGATTTTAGGAGTCTTTTGATGTGTTTATATCCCATCATAAACAGAAGAACTTAGTGTCGGCCCCTTTCTAGGGAAAAATTTAAAGACATTCATTTTACATTCACTCCCTGGTATTTATTATATATATATACATGATGGTGTTGTCCCCACCAGTCACTTGAGATCAACAGAGAGGGACGTGGTCCTCAACCCTGGCTCCTTATAAGAATCACCGATGGAGATGTTCTAAAATTTAGATTTACTGACCAACTTCAGGGTCTACAGAATTAGAATCTCTAGGTTTGGAGCCCTAGATTTCTGTGGCAGTTACTTTAAAATTCTTGTTCATAGTAAATTGTCAAACAGTACAAAAAACAAATAGAATTAAATAAAAATCTGAAACATTTCTACCCAACATTCTCACTACCCAGGGAAGACATATTTTTTTAATAACCTCCCAGAGATAAACATCTCTCCCCCAATACACAAATCTGGAAAACATAAATGGGATCATACTGTTTACAACTTGTTTTCTTTAATTAATAATATATCTTTGACAACTTCCATTATCAGGACATGCAGATACACTTCATTTTTTTATATGGCTGCATATATATATATTTTTGTATTTTATGGATGACTCTTAATTTTTTAAAACCCAGTCTCCCTGACAAACATGTAAATGTTTTCCTTTTTCCTTTCTTGTTTTTTATTTTGCTACTACATATGATGCTATGAAGAATATGTTTTGCATCCTTATATGAGCTATTTGTAGCAATTTAAGAATAAAACCGCTGAGGCTAAGCGTACATCTCTCACACATACAAAATATGTGTCCATGCATATGTGTGTCTGTGTGTAAAATCTTTGCATAATGTGTGTGTATATGTGTGCATATGTATTATGTTCAATATTTACATATGTGTATATATAAAATACAGAAGCTCTTCATATTTACATGAGTTATAGGAATCAAATTACCCAAAGGGTACATATATAATATATATTTCTTTCCATACATATATATATATATACACTATGTGTATAGTATATATGTTTCCATATATTTACATATGAGTATCTTTGCATACTTATATGAGTTACAGGAGTGGAATTACTAAGTTAAAGAGTAAATATATGCACACACAATTTTGATAAATACATAAAGTTGTCTTCCTAAATAACTGCACCAAGTCATATAGTGTGTAAGGGTTATTGTTTCCTGGCAACTTTGCCAATGTTATCACTTTTATTTTTGCCACACGTAAAGGTTATAAGTAATTGTTTTTGTTACATTTCTTTACTGAGTAAAGAATATATATCTCTACATATTTATAAAAATTTCTATATATTTTATATATAAAGAAAATGTATTTTCAACTTTTTCTGACTATATGACAATTTGTATATGCTCTACTATGAAATGCCCATTATATTCTTGGCTCGTTTTTCTACTAGGTTATCTTTTTACTCATTTATGTATTTACTTAAATATTCCAGAAGATAATCTCTTGTCATATATGTTCAAATAATAGTTTTTAAATCTTGCTTATGGTGTCTTTTGTCTTATCAGTTTTCGATTTGAGCATTTGCCATATCAGGGAACTTTCTCCTGGAATTTTGATAATCAAGAGTTATTTGAAGGAAAAACCTTGGTGTCCTGGGACATCATGGGGCGGCGGGGAGAACGCAAAATACAAGTTATGTTAAGTAAGATGCCTTCTTCTGTCTCTGCCTATGAAATGAATTTGCTGATCCAAAATAGAAAATCATTTTCTTCTATTCAAAACTTAGATCTGCAGACTCAGTTTTTTAGGCCAAAGAGAGCAAAGCTCCAACATTCAGTGATTCTGTCTGGACAAATGACCCACCAACAGCTCACTCCCTACTGACTCCCTCTTTCAGCACAACAGAAAGACCACAAGGCTTGTCCCAAGACCTTCGTGATGACTTCAGCCCTGGTACACACTGGCCATAAAGTATCAAAGATTTGAGCCCCTCTCAGCCTCAAATTTCTCACTTATGAAATAAGGGTAGTAATTCCAAATTCAAAGGGCCACTGTAAGGATAAAATAAGTAATACAAGTGAAAGTGCAGACACATAATACTACGTTGCTACTGATCATACATTTTTTTGAAGAGCACATAGTCGAAAGTCATTTGCAATTCCAAACGTCTTTAGAATGCCACAAATTATTCTGCCAATGACTAATCTTCACAATTTTATTTTGCTTAATCTGATATTAAAATTGGATAGAATTCCCCTACATACCACAACTAACAAAACACAGGTGTTGGGCAGCAGGGGAAAACCAAGATGGAATTTAAGTTTAAATTTTAAAATTTACACTTACTGAACGCAGAACCCACTCTGTAATGATCTTACTAAAAGCTTTTACTCAATGGGATTCCTCTCAAGTGGGCAACCCCCTTATCACCAGAATAAGGAGAAGAAATGCTTACAGGTTAAGCTAAACAGGCCCAATCAATAAAGACAGATCCCTGAAATCAAACTTGACTGGGAAACTGAGGCTCAGCAGACTACTGGGATAATGTGATGTTTAATATTATGTGTCAGTTGTCAATATAGCTAGGCTCTGGTACCCAACTGTTTGGCTAAACACTAGGCTAGACGTTGCTGTGCTGGTAATCTTTTTGAAGATATAGTTACATTTAAATCCTTCGACTTTGAATGTTATCCCCAATAATATGTGTGGGCTTCATCCAATCAAATGAAAGCCTTAAGTGAAAAGACTTAAGGTTCCCGGAGGAAGAAAAATTTTGTCTCCAGGCTGCCGTGTGACTCAAAACTACAACACCAGCTTTTCCTTGGGGCTCCAGCCTGTCTATATGTCTTGTAGATTTCAGCCTTGCCAGCTCCCCAAATTGGGTAAGCTAATTCCTTAAAATAAATCTCTCTCCCTCAGTCACCCACACGCATGCACATGTATACACACACACGCACACACACATACACACATCCTATTGGTTCTGTTTCTCTAGAGAACACTGACTAATAATTTCAAGAGATGTGTAATAAAGGTCTTCTCACCCTCAGCCACCATGGCTCATTGCCACAGTTAATAACCCTGCCTGGACTCAGAAACCTTTCACTCTCCCGCTTCTCCAGGGTCCTTAAATGATGCGATGCTGAAATTGGGCAGCATTTTTCCTTCAGGATGTTTTTCCACCTACCCATCACCTGAAATATCCCTCCTCCATTGGCCATAAAATAAAACCCCTTCATTATAATTGTATGTTCTTACTAGTTCATCTCTCCTGTGAGATTTGGGGGGAGGGGGAGAATAGGGGTGGTCATCAGTGCAGTGCAAGATAGAACAGGACTGGGCTTCCATAGAGCTAATATACTACTGTGAGAGACAAACAAACAATTACATAAGATTATTTCTGCTTGCTAAGTGCTATACCGACAAAAGAGTGATACGGTGGCGCCTAAAGAGGAAGAATCTGAGCCGGGATACTTGAGAAGAGACCCGAAGATGAAGGAGCCAGCATTGTGAAGAGGGAAGGAGCAAATATTCATTCTAGACAGAATAGTGGCAAACAGCCTCGGCAGGGCACACGGGGTTCAGTAAATTCCCAGTGAATCCTACAGATCAGGTGAGAGGTGCATTTGTAACAAAGATGATTTTGTATTGCGAGGGCTATTTAAGACTGGTCCCTAATAAAGCCTCACTTCATCCAACCGTCCAGGTCGGCGGCTGCGTCGTGTGAGGAGGTGAGGGATAGGGAAGTGGCTGGAGGCTGCCGTCAAACCTGGCCTCTCGGTTACAGTACAGCGGCTTGGCCAATCCAAACCTCATTTTCCTCCCCCTTATGGTGTGGGGCTTGCTGTCTGGTCTACATGCCCTGTCAGGTCTCGGCTGTGGATCCACTTATCCACTTAGGCCACTAGGCCCGGGCACATGTAGAAGAAGCCACTGCGAGGCGGGCCACCTTGCGGGCTCCGAAGGCCGGGCCTAGTCCCATTGTTGCTCAGACGCCCGGCCGGCCAGGCTGCGCCTCCAGCCGGCGAGGCTCTGGACGGATCGAAACTGACTGCAGGCCCGCGAAGCTAGGACACCGGGTCAGCGCCGCCTGCCCAAAAGTGGCGTCCTGGGCTCGACTGGCCGCCTTCGGGTAGCCGGCGAGCCCGGCTCTGAGCTCCATCCGGCCCCAGGGCCGGGACCCACCAGACTGCGCTCTCGAACCGGGCGCCTGGGTGTCCTCAGGCCGCCTCCGTGTCCCCGACTCACCTCCTTTATGCGGCTCCTTCCTTTCCTTCCCCCGCTTTTCCTGTTCCGAGTGGACCCCGGCGGGACAGGGGGGCGGGAGGGTGATCAGAAAGAAAGGATCAGCGATGTGGAAGCGAAGAGGGGGAAGAGGGAGGAGGCGAGGAGAGGAGAGCGGAACGGCGCTGCGCAGTCAGGCCGCGAGAGGGGAGGCGTGGGAGCGCCGGCCGGGGGAGGAGCAGGAGGCTGCGGCCGGCCGCGGCGGGAGGGCCGGCGGGTGCGGGAGAGCCCGCCGGCCGCGAGCCGTGGGGGAGGGGAGCGCCGCGGGCGGAGGAAGAGGAAGAGGCGCGCAGATGCTCCGTTGCGTCTCGAAGGTTAAAACCGAAAATAAAAACTGCCTGTATACTAATTCAGCTCGCGGCCAGCTCGCGGCCAGCTCGGAGCCCTCCGCAGCCCCGAAGCAGCCAGGGGAAGGGGCGCGCCGACCCAGCAAGGACCCCGGGGCTGGGGTTCGGCTCTGCCTACCTGGTCCGGCGCCCGGCCCGCCGCTCCAGAGGCGCCAGCGCCACGCAGTGTCCAGATGTCGCGTCGGCTGCAGGCAGCGGTTTCCTTTAATTCGCTTGTTTCCCAAATCCAAATGTGGAGCGGAGCGCCATTTGTTTCAAAACTGACATCCAGCCTCCTGAATGGCGGATGAAGAGATGACCTTGCTTTTCTTTCTTTTTGTCTTTAATTAATGTGGTTGGAGAAATGGAGGACCCTTGGCGAGAGGCACGAATAAAGGAAGGGGGACAAGGGAGCGGGGACGGGAGTAGGACTCGCAGCCGCGTGAACGGCCTCTAGTATGGCCGTATCATGCCACACGTATGGCCGTGTCAGGTGACGGAGGTTGCGAGGGGGCGGGCTGCCTGGAGATGCGTTCTGGCGACAGGCCCTTGAGCTGTCACCGCGTGGGGCGCCCGCGCTGAGGGTGGGAAGGGGGGGGACCGCGGATAGGGCGGGAACGAGAACGTGGGGGGAGGGAGAGGAACCTAGGGCGCTAGCGGCCCGCGCGCGCGCGGCTCCCCGCGCCTCAGCCGGTTTTTCCCGCGCGCGCTGGGCACAGGCCGGTCCTGAGTTCTGGCGAGGTCCGGGGCGCGCGGGCGCGCGCAGGGGGCTCGGGCGCGCGCCTGCGGGGCGGAGATGGGCTGGGGGCGGCGCGTGGGTCTCAGTTCGCGATCGGGGGGCGGGCGCGGCGCTGCCTACCTCTGATGCCAAAAGGCGGCGCAGCGCCCGCGAAGCTCCACGGCAGTGGCGGCGGCAAGATTATGGTGCGCGCGTTCTTAATTACAGTGCGAATTCGGCGTGCGTGCGGCCCGCCGCGAGTGAGGGCTTTTGTGGTGCGGATCGCACGGCCGGTGGATGAGTGGGCAGCGTCGGGTGTGCGGGCCGCTGCGGCCCTCGTGCTGATGCTAGTGAGGAGCCAGCGCAGAGCGCATCCGAGAAGACCAGGTAGGAAGGCCTGGAAAAGTCCCGGGTGCAGGCGGCCTGTGGATGATTTTGTTTGGTGTGATTTAATAGAGATAAATCATCTTCCAGACGAGGTTAGCAGGAGGTGGTTACCGTGGGTGGATGCTCTTTCCTTCTTTCCCCATTAGGGTTACAGTTACTTAGAGGTGTGTTTCTCCCAATATGTTGAGCCCGGAGCCCGCTTCCCACACCTCCTCAATCTCATGAAACTGAGGGGTAACCAGGAGTTTCTAAACCCAGCTTAGAAGTCAGTCACTCCTGAATTTCCTGGGTGGAAGTCAGTGAACACCCACACACCGTGCACCGTGCACCCACATAAGGTGTATTTCTAGGGCACTTTATTTTGCCCTGGAGGAAAGTATTACTAACGGTACTTGCTTTCTGAAGGCCGCCTTTTTTCTCCCCAGCCTTGCTACGGGGTCAACCTTCCCGCCTTCCAGCGGTGGAGGACGTGCAAGGGTGTGGGCACGCACATGTTAGACTTCCCGAAATAGTTACATTGATCAAAGAAGGATCAGTAACTACCAGAAAGAAATACTTGCTTTTGCAGTTAGTGGACAAATGGGCTTTCGTACTGAGTTGGAGGTTTATGTTTGGCTCTCTGGCAAATTCAAACTCCTCAGGACAATGTCTGTGTTTTTAGCAGAACATAAAGAACATAAAATAGGTGAGTGGAAGGAATCACAACCGATCATATTTAAGCCATCTCAGGCCACAATTAACACTTTTTAAAAAATGAGGCCTACTTCTTGAAAAACAGAATCCTAGGTAGTGTGTCCTCATATCAGATAAATCTTTACATAGTTAGTGTAATTTTCTACGACCAGAATGATTGAAACAGTATGTATAGTTATAATATGCAGAATCCTAATTAAAACCTGGATAATAAATCTAAAAACAATTTAGTGAGACTCCATTTTGTGACCTTGTGGCATCATTTCCCTGGAAATGCACATTTTGAAAAAGTAAAGACCAGAGTAGGGGGGAATCATTTTTTATTGCAATATTAACAGGCTTTTGGGCATGTAAATGTAAAATGTTTTAAACTATCAGTGTTTAAGTGCCTCAATCTTTATTGGCAAAAATATACAATATATAGGGTAAATACACATTTTCTTTTTTCATATTATTGTGAAAGTTCAGTTTTTGAGGTAATCAATAGGAGCTTGTAAAGCAATTCACGGCATGTTGGTGGACTTGATTTTATTTCATTTTAAAACATTAACAAGACCCTGGGGTTTTTTTATGGTGCATTATTCATACTAGCAAATGTTTAGCCATTATGATACATTCTTTGATATCACAGTTGTTAGTATTACTCTCTATATATAGTTATTTTATTTCAAAGGAAATCTATAGTTACAAATTAGAAAATTTTAATCTATGTAAATACTGTAATTGTGTGCTTTCTATTTTAGGGTTACACAATGTAATATGATTAAGTTGTAGAATTTATTCATTTTATAGTATATTGTATAGAATGTTAAAACTATAAAAATGATAGGGTCATTGAAAATAGCCATTTATTTCTTGTTATATAGATAGAAATCAATTTTCAAAAATGTGCAAACTTACTAAAAATATATTGGCTATATATGAAAAGCCCAATTTTCAGCAAATATGTGGCGACAGAACACACAACTTGTATAGAAGAGAATATGTTTGAATATATGTGCAATTTTCCAACCCCATTTTTAATTTATATGTATAAACACCTGGAAGAATTAAATATAAATAATATATAACTATGTATTTCACATTAATATGTATTATGCCTATGGTTGTATTGATTTAAGAATATATATATATGAATGATAATGATATAAGGACTCATACAATTCCTTGAGAGCCAGAGTGCTAAGAATTACTTATATGAATTATTTTATATTAATACAAATATGTAAAATGTTATTTTTTAAATATTTTTAAATTTCTGCAAATATGTTCATTACAACTTTTTATTTTTATATCACTGGAAAATGTATTTTAAAAATTCCACACGACGAGTTTCTTATCCATACATGCCTGATGAATTACGTTAATTGATTTGTTACTTCTACGTAGGGGCATTTACAAAATAATCATATTTTTATTAAATCAATTTTTTGTTTACTGCTACTTTTAAGCTCTTGGGTTTTTTCCCCCATTTAACAGCTTAGTGTACTTTCAAGGTAAGCACTGTACAGTTAGTATAAGCCATTATTCCCAGTGTGTACATGATCCCCAGCTTGTATTATGTTCTAAATGAACAATAACACTTTCAGAAATCAAAACTTAATATTCACTAGCCTTTTGGGGACTCTTGATATTTAAAAAGTCTATTGTTATCCTAAGGTAGCAAGGACATAGCCTATCGCTGTCTACGTCCGTAATATTTTACAGTAAGGTCTGCTAATTACATATTAATTCATCACAAATTAACAACCGTGGTAGTTAAGCTAAACCATTTCCCAACATGTAAAGAACTCCTGTTAGTAATATCATCTAAATAATCTCAAAATACTTTTTTAAAGGAAGGTTGAACATTTGGCCCAGTGTTTTTACTCTTAAAATCTTTAGTCCTTTTTGAGAAGCATAACAATCTCACTTGTCCCCTCTCTACTAAAACACCCTGGATCATAGAATCCTCTTACCTACTGTCAAATTCAACCTAATAAAAAGTTTTTATGGTGCTTTATTTCTACTAAATTATGTAAACAATGGATACTGTCTCCTTATCTAAATATAAAATGATAATATTCAATGGCTTTTTAAAAATATCAGTTTAAAAAAATCTGATTCTCAGATACCTAATCACTAATATTGTATCAATTTATAGACTGATGAAATTAATGCACTTTCTTAAATACCTCGCTGACAAGGGCATTTTTACAGTGTGTACCAAGAACTTTAAAAATATTTGTACACTTTCATTCAATTATTCTCTATGTAGGCATCATCCTAAGGAAAGAAAGATTCTGACAAAGATTAATACAAAAAATAATAGCAAGAAACTGTAAAATGCCTTAAATTCTAGCAATAAGATGTTAAATTATGGCACAACCATTCTCTGAAATTATGGTCTGGAATATTCCAGACTCTAAAATACTATAGGCAATCATGTTTTTGAAGAATATTTAATAGAATGTAAAATGATCACATTATAAAGTGAGGTGATTTTTTAAAGCAAACTTCAAAATAGTAAAAGATTATTACTCTTGCATTTCCTCTGTACACACACACACACACACACACACAATATGTGCCAAAATATTTATAATGGTTTCCTTAGGATAGGAGAATGGGGGTCAGTGATCTTTAATTTCTTCGTTACTTTTGAGTTTTCCAAAATGCTATGACTATCGCCAGTAAAAAATGGACGTTGTTTTCAAAGCCCACTGGACAGATCTATGGTACATTTCGGATGAACTAAGAGCTTGCTTAGCGATGAGGAAGGAGTGGAGAAGGGTAAGGGAACTAAGCTGCTCAGGTATCGTAAAAGAAAGTGATTTTAAGGTTCTGGAGAAAGCATGATAGGGATGTGACGTCAGACTCTGACACACACTGTGTCTATTCACAATCTAGTTCTTTTTAAAATAAACATTAAATGCGTAGCTAGACCCGCTGCCAAGGCGTCTGGGTGCTAGGCCTCTGGTCACAGAAAGTACTCGCTACTCGGGGTGCCCTCCCTCCAGTCCTCTCGGGACTTCAGGCTGGAGCTTGCCGCCTCTCGGAGCTGGGTTGGGGTTGCAACGGGCGACCCCAGGGTCCAAAGGGAGCCGTCAGGTAGGAAGTGACCTCGCCTCCCCTCTCCCAGCTGAGACCACCTTTTTCAACCCTGACCTCCCTACCCTCTCAATTCTTAGGGACGCTGCGGATCGCGGAGATTTAATTGGCTGCTGGGGTAGGACCCTCTGGCAAGAGTTTAGACGCTTGACCCACTTATCACCCCTTTCCGCGAACGCACCCCTTCTACTTTTAGCCTCCCCTGGGTCTCATCCCTCACCTCTACTATTTCCGCAGGTAAGATTTGGTCAGAGTAACAATAACTGCAGATCAGGGGACACGCGTAGAGCAGGACTGGGGCTTCACAGGGTGGAAGGTGGGGGGCGGGCAGAGTCTGAGTGGCCCTCGTGGATTCAAGGGGGTGCGAGGAATGACAGAGGACCTTTCCAGGTCCCCTCGCCAGCCTGGAATTGGCTAGGCCTTTTTCTCTGAAGGGGATGGGGCGGAGTGGGTCAGTGAGGAAAGTGCACTTCTGAGACCCGGCAGCTTTTCCCTCCCTTTCCATGCCAGGTGGAGACCCCAGAGTGTTGAAAGGCCTCATCCTCTTTGTTTTTCTGGGTTGCAAGATGGAATGGAGAAAGGCCTGTAACGATTTTTAGTGATGAAGAATTTGCTCTCAAATTCTTCTCTTAACGGTTTTCTTGTTATACTGCAGCTTTCTTCATGTTCAAAAACGGCCCCCTGAGTTAAGACACTCAAAGGAAATCCTTTATTAGAAAGAAAAAACGTCCGTAAGTACTAAAACAAGATGAACTTCTATGACAGTAAGCAAACAAAGAGGAAAGCCTTGGGAATAAATAAAAACTTTGTTTGGTAGGGGAAGGAAGGTTCTTTTAAAGGCTTTGCCCCCTCCTAGAAAATGCTCACCAATTTGGGATCTCCACAGATTCACCCTATCCTAATTCATGCTATTTCAGTGTGTATTCAGCGATTTTACGTGTATTGACAATTGCTGAACTTACTGAGAGTGTCAATAGCATTTGTTTTTTAAAGAAGGGCAGATGGAAGAAAGCCTCTGCTTGTCAGTGCAGTTATTTATTTCATGAGCCCTGGAATGATTGTTGCAGTTGGGTAAAACTATATAATCAGAAAGAAGTAATAAAAGGGAAAATTGTAACTATCAGCTACAAGATTTAAAATTCCAATCCATCAGGTCCTTTGAAAACAATTAAGTTGCTTTTTATTTTTTATATTGTAACATAAGGGCTTCATTGATGAAAATATAAGCATTTTTAAATGATTGCAAACCCAGTAGGAATTTTTTTAAGGGAAAAAGGGCTCTGTAGAGCAGTTTCAGATCTATATGAACAAAGATACTTAATTTGAAAGTATATCAAAACTAAAAAAAAATTGTGCAATCAAAATGTTTTAAATAAATATGCCTTTGTTTTCTTCATTTAAGCATGAAAGTAATGAGAAATCAAAGAAGGCATAGGTTATCAATAGCATCATTATCTGAGCTGCTTTTTAAAACATACATTTGTGGGACTCACTCCCAGAAAATATGATTCACCAGATTTGCTGTGGGTTCCTAGAATCTCTAGTTTAAATAAACACTTCAGTGGGGATTTCTGTTACAGGTGGCTTATTGGGACACCGTTTGACAAATATGGTGGGTGTTGCTTTTTTAGCCTTATTTTTGCTTACTTATTTTTAAGTCAAGGCCAAGGCTCTTAGGTAATATTTAAAATTTTACATCAGTCAATTACACTTTAGGTTCCAGGAAGGACACTGAGAGTCTGAGTAATCATTGAAGGAGCTATTTTACTAAATGAATCAGACCCTTTATTATTAAATGGTTCTTCATCTGAATTGGAAAAGATTAATCCTTAAATCCCAGACTTTTCTTTTACAATCAGAACATATCTGGGGAGGAAAGATATAACAGGATATACTTGTATGTTAAAGCTTGTAGCACCAGATAGAAAATATCCACATAAAACATTTATTGTATCTTATCCTTTTGAAACACTATATATAATTACCTGTATTTACATAGGATGGATGGTTAGATAGATAGAGAGATAGAATAATAAGTAATAAGGAGTTGCTTTCATTTCATTATCCAAACCAGAAACAAGGCTAGTAAACATAACAACCTAAAATTATGTAAGGGAGCACAAATGAAACATTGAAGTGTTTCATAGGTTTAAATTATATTTATTTACCATCAAGGCAAATTTTCAGTAAAATGTAGCCACCACAGAATAAAGTACTTATGGACAAAATGATGGGTCTTTGTGTCTCTGTAAAAATATATTGACCAGAGGGGAAATGTATATGAATAATGTAAGCTAAAAATAATTTGCAATTATATGAAAAATTAAATAATCTGCCCTCTAAATTATAATCATAATTTTTCTGCTTTTAAACTACTATTTGTCTAATGTGACACCAACTACTTTGCTGATGTATTAGGGAAAAGAGATTACGTTTTGCTTTCTTTTTTTGAGTGCCACCATTTTCTTGCTCGATCAGGCTGCCAGATCATCTGACTCAGCAACTGTACAACTCCTCTACCCAATTTAAAGAAACAGCAGCTAACCAAAGAACAGTGACTCCCCCCAATTGCAAATCTTGCTTACCCTGTAGAATAAGTAGTATATTTTAACTTGGAAATAATTGGTAGAAGCCCATAAAACATGAGGACACTGTATTTTACTCCATTCAACTAACATACTTAATGTATGTAATGTAATTACATATTTGATGTAACATTTTAAAAGAAGCTGATTGAAACTTTATTCCAAAAGTTCATAGTCATGTTCGCTTTCAATTTTCCCTCAGAATAAGTAGAAAGAGCTTAACAGTATTAAAGCATGTCAACTTTATATCCTCTCAGGTAACTGCCACATTATCCTTATGTTTTAGGAATTTTATTCTCTCTGACTGAGACTGAGGTTCAGATAGGTTGTTACATCGTCTGTCAAAAGTCAGACCAGTAATTTGTGTACAGTTGAACCAGTTGTGCCCTTTGCCCTAAATGCTCTCACTTACCACTTTGTAACTGTCATATATGTGTATATGTGCCATATACATATACAGATATATGTATGTATCTGTATATATATATATGTGTGTGTGTGTAGTTTCAGTTCCATCTCTTCTAGCTATTTATTGTTTTCTAAGTTGCTTAACTTCCTTGAATCTCTGTTTTACTCAGCATCAGCCACATATGTCCAGTAAATAGATATTCTTTGAGTGAATGGAAAAGTTCTGAGAAATAAAGCAATAATAACTGAAGTATCCTTATCGACTCTAAAAGCCATTGAATCTCCTAATAAAACAAAGGAATTAACTCCTTTCAGAAATTTATTTCTTGCCCAGAATAAAACTATTTAAATCTCCCTTGTAAATTAAATATAAATTACGTATTCCCACTTCGATTTAAGGGAAATAAGTGGCAAACCTGTGCAGCAGTATAGGACTCACTTAAAGCACAAAGTAAAAAAAAAAAAAGATCACTTTCTTGGAATACATGGCCTGCGATTAGATCCTGTTTTCTTTATTTACTGCCTGTGTGTTATCAGGACTAAGTACTTAAAACATTCAGTGCTCTACTTTTTCATCTGTAAACCTGAGATAGTACTCTATAGTATTCATCTAAAAAGAACTACATAAAATAGTATATGTAAAGGTACATTGTAAACTTTCAGTTGACATATATTTGTCAGGTATTGTTAAAGTGCCTAATTACACTATTCTCTTACAGGCACATTAGTTTACTTGTGCAGTAAATGCCTTCTTAATTTGAATTTAATTAAAGTAACTGAAATTCCTGAACTCCAAAGAATTACACATACATATCATAATAAAAATATATTTATTCAAATCCTTGACCCATCCCAAGGTGTCATGTAAAATCAGTGTAAATTTGCCTACTTTTTTACCCACACCTGTTCAGAAGCCCCATATAATAGTCTTTTTAGTATGACTCTAATTTCTTTTAGTATTCATAACCATAAAATAGATATTAAACAATATTCATGAACCTCTGTTTTCTAAGATAAGAAATCAATTAGTTTTAGAAACCTGAAAAAAGTATTAACCTGCGTACAATTTATCAAAAAATTTAAGAACCCAGAATAATAATATTTGGAGGAAGCATGAGGAAATGGACTCAACTCCTTCAGAATGGTCACTATAGTCTGTGGTTTCGCCACAGAATTTTCTAAGAATTCTTTAAATAAAGTGTGTGTGTATGTGTGTGTGTGTGTGTGTGTGTGTGTGTGTGTGGTGGAAGGAAAAAGGGACAGAAACATTAAAGTCATTCTCAAAACCCTCAGAATGTCCGCCTTGGAAGGTAATCTTCAGTTATTCTTATTCACATGTAGTAGAATATCAGAGAAACCAAAAAAAAAATTCTGACAATAAGACTATAGAGCCCCAAGAGGACAGGGGCCAGGGGAGCAACTAGTTCTCCATTTGAGATGAAAAGCTTCAACACAGATGATTCCCCTAAAATTAGAGTATTCTAAATCATTGTTAAATCCAATCAACTCCCACCTCCAGGAGTGAAAACTTCATACAATATTACTTCTCTGTGAGTTTCAACTGTAAGTGTGCATTCTAATAGCACATACATACATCAACAGTGTAAGCAGAAATGGAATATTATATGTGTTCATGGTTAGTAATCAATAGGGCAACACATGTTTGAAAGAAAAATCTATCTCATCAAGGAGGAATAAGGGAGACTAGGAATAGAGGGTTAGAGAAGGTAGACTTTGCAACTCCTGATGCTGCCTATGATTTCTCCATTGTACCTCCTACTTGAACTGCGCATCAAGGAGTATGGTGGGTGGCAGTGAATGAAGAGGAAATATTGAACAGTGACACACTCCATTTGTCACTTCCCATGATTTAATAAAGGTTTTTGTGGACGTTCTTTTGTTATAACATAACCAACTTTTTACAAAGAAGCTCTGTTTTCTGGGGGTTAAAATTCAAAGAAGACAGAATTAATCACACCTTTTGGAAGGGAGTTTGTTTATTCAAACCACAAATACCTGCCAGTACATACATTAATGAACAGAAAATACTGAGAGGAAATTGACTTTGATGGCCTAAATGAATAACATGACAGTAAATGTCGTATCTATTCTCAAAAAAAAGTAAGTTGTGTTTATTGAGAGCCTGTTGTGTGCCTAGATTTTTATATGTCTGAATTCTTTATTCCTTATAATAACTCTATGGGGTACAGTTTTATTTTCCCACTTTAAGAGATAAGGAAATGGAAGCTTATAAAGTTTCCATAATTTATTTGAGCCCACAGAGCTGGCAAATGAAGGATAAATTCTGAGTATAAAGACTGAGATTATCCCATTACCCATGCTGCATTTTTGTTTCAAGATTATTATTAAAGATATGGTGGCAACTCTTACCAACCACATCTGTCCAAGTCTGAATTAATAGTTGTGACCATAGAAAGAATATGGAAAGAGGACTGAGTTCAACATCTGCTGCAAGAATTTATTACATGGGTAAACATAGGAATGTTCCACCCTTCCATTTTCTTATCTATAAACCAAAGATCATTTTTGAAAAATGATATTGCAATATGTTTCCAGAGCCTTATACTCTGAAAAACTGCAATACTATTTATTCTAGCAATTGAGAAACACCTCAAATATCTGACAACAGGGGCATCAGTAAGTAAACTATAACATTTTTTTCAGGGGAGCATGTTGCAGTTGTTAAAAGTACTGTTTATGAAGAGATTTTTGAAGAA